ATAGGGTTATTTTCGTCGATTAAATCTTTTAGGTCCTGAAGTTCTTGTATTGTAGTTGCGTCGGATCCCGAAATTGCGTTTCGTGTCTTGGAAAGTTTTCGTTCTAAAATTTGTTTTGTTTTGTTTTAATTGCCTATTTTCTTGTTTGTTTTTTTTTTAAATCTGATATGTCCTATTTTTTCTCTAAGTGGCGTAAATGGCGTAATTACAAGGTCGTGTCTTTTGATTAAATAATTGTGGGGTGTTATTGTTTTTTGTTAACTAAATTATCTCTTCAAATCAGATTTAGGATGATGGTTTCAAAATCCAGGTGTTAGAATAATTATTTCCTAATTTGTTGATATTTACGTTTGTTGTGAGGCTATCCTAACTTGGGGCATGGGTTTTCGAGATTGCTGGGAGAGAAAGTATATCAATTCGTCAGAATGATGTTTTACCTTCTCGGTGGCTAAGATTTATTTTAGAAAAGATTACTCATCTTACTTAGGGTTGTCATTTTGTGACTGAGGGTTGGAGATTAGGAATCAATCCACAAGGTTCAGGTATAATAAGAACACGAGTAGACCGTTAGATACTATTTTAAATCTTGCTAAGTTTAAAATTGTTTTAGGGTCAACTAAGAGGAGGGGCTCAAGTGAAGCATGAGTAACCAAAGTTCTTCACTGTTTATCCAATTTAAAATGGTTAGTTTTCCAAAAATTTCTATTAGTCATGGGTCGTTGATAAGAGTTTGAGGTCGAGAGAAACTCTTTACTGGGAGGTTGGGGGAACAAAATTGTTTTAATTAATCCAGGGGAAGAATTGATTTAAAAAAAAATTTTAGTTGAAATAAATAAAAATTTAAAACATTTATAAAAATAAAAAAGATTCAAGGATAGACTTGCTGATCTACTCTTGTGGAGATTAGATTGTTAGAAAACAAGGATAGGCCTTGATAATATTCAAGTTATAAGTTTAAGCTAATGAAAACATTAAGAGTTTAAAAGAATTGATTTGAAGGTCAAAAATTAACTTGATATTAGGTTTTGAATAATTATGGTTAAGGTTTTGAGTTGAAGAAAGAAGGATGAAAAGGATTGGGAAAAATTGAAAAGGAAGAAAGGATTAGGTTTCTTGAGAAGCATGGCACTTTGATGATTTCAATGAAACCAAACTCAATTTTGTTTTTAACTAATTTTTTATTTTTTGTCAATAAATTTTAGTTTAACAAAAGCTTTCAAAATTACTGCAGACTTTGATGAAAAGAACAACTTGTTTAATTTTTCATCAGGCGGTATTATGCTTATATATTATGGTAAATTAACATCAGGAAATATATTGCTTGGAAAGGAACTTTGCTGCTCCAAGTAATTTAGTTTTCATGTTAGAGAATGAAAACTTACTGCATGGACAATTCTGTGGAGATATACTCGTTGCAGTTTGCGTTATTTCACGATGTAGAAGCTTGGTCTGCCGTTCATTTTTCGACCTGGTCTTTGCCGTATTGTATGAAATATTGAATTAGACATTTTGAGACGTAGACGTATCTATTAGATTGTCTATGCTATCTATCTTGTTGCAATTTTGCTATCTATATTTTGATCTTTTTTCTAATTCTACTTTGCTACGTCTAGGTTTGTTAGTAGGTCTTGTTCAATACCTTTGGTTACATCAGATGAGTATATGCTTGGAGTAACTTGCTCATAGTTATTTTAGATATCGTCACGCTTCAGAGTAATTTCGTCACGCTATCTTATTTTCAGCCGGATAAGTTCGTGCGACTTCTTTGTCTAATACCGATCCTAATCTTACTCTTATATCTCCTAGTCTCAATAGATCTAGAGTATACTGGTTTTCTCGGGTTAGATATCTGGAACTTGATCCAAAGGAGAACATCTGACTTCAAAGTTATATTTAAATTGTTCTGGTGCTGAAACTGCAAGTGGTTACAGCATTAGAAAAAAATGTCAGTGCTAGTTACGGATCATGATTGGTTAGTAAGAACTATTTGATAGAGGTAGTTTTATCAAGAATTTAGTTGGTCATAAATACTACTTTTAAACTAGTTCTACTTTGCGCTTGCAGCGATTAGAAACAGCGTCCCGGGTTGACCTCCATACACCGAAAATGCTTATCATACAATTCCATGCATCAAGTCATGGAGAAAATGCTTACCATACATTTTCCATATACGGAAATTGTATGATTGGCGTTTTTTTTTGATGGCGACACAAGCATTTTCCAAATGATTTTCAAAACTTGCCCTAAAATTTGTTTTATTTTTTTTGTCAACCGCGAATCGAATTTTGTACGCAAAAAACATTTTCCGAAATTTTTTTGACATGCAAATTTTAATTTCTTAACTGCATAACGTAGTCCTGGATACGATAATATTGACTGTTTTATTTTTCACATAAAATTCCTATTTCTTTTGTATGGCGGTGTTTATGCATGCCTTGATAAATGTCTGACAATTTGAAAACTCAAAAAACTAAAATAATCCTAATTGAAAAATTTTGCCAAAAAATGAAAGTTTTTTTACTTTTGTTATTTATATCATTTGTGAAAGACAGCTCGAAGACAATTCAGGTCGTTTTCAATGCATTGTATATGCAGGACAGTCCAACCTTTGGTGCTTTGAGTAACTAAGGTCTTTGTCACTAGTGTTCGGTAGCAAACAGAAGCCAAACTTTTTCAGAAAACAAAATTAGAAACAAAAACAACTTTTTTGATTTATGGAAAAAACACCTATATGGAATTGTATGGAATTGTATGAAAAAAAAATCCCATTCATGAGAAGTGTATGATAAGCATTTTTGGTCAACCTGTTTATCATACCCTTATCATACAATTCCATGCATCAAGTCATGGAGAAAATGCTTACCATACATTTTCCATATACGGAAATTGTATGATTGGCGTTTTTTGGTCAACCTGAGAAAATGATAAGAATTTAGTTGGTCATAAATACTACTTTTAAACTAGTTCTACTTTGCGCTTGCAGCGATTAGAAACAGCGTCCCGGGTTGACCTCCATACACCGAAAATGCTTATCATACAATTCCATACAAAAAAAAAACCTTATCATACAATTCCATGCATCAAGTCATGGAGAAAATGCTTACCATACATTTTCCATATACGGAAATTGTATGATTGGCGTTTTTTTTTGATGGCGACACAAGCATTTTCCAAGTGATTTTCAAAACTTGCCCTAAAATTTGTTTTATTTTTTTTGTCAACCGCGAATCGAATTTTGTACGCAAAAAAACATTTTCCGAAATTTTTTTGACATGCAAATTTTAATTTCTTAACTGCATAACGTAGTCCTGGATACGATAATATTGACTGTTTTATTTTTCACATAAAATTCCTATTTCTTTTGTATGGCGGTGTTTATGCATGCCTTGATAAATGTCTGACAATTTGAAAACTCAAAAAACTAAAATAATCCTAATTGAAAAATTTTGCCAAAAAATGAAAGTTTTTTTTACTTTTGTTATTTATATCATTTGTGAAAGACAGCTCGAAGACAATTCAGGTCGTTTTCAATGCATTGTATATGCAGGACAGTCCAACCTTTGGTGCTTTGAGTAACTAAGGTCTTTGTCACTAGTGTTCGGTAGCAAACAGAAGCCAAACTTTTTCAGAAAACAAAATTAGAAACAAAAACAACTTTTTTGATTTATGGAAAAAACACCTATATGGAATTGTATGGAATTGTATGAAAAAAAATTCCCATTCATGAGAAGTGTATGATAAGCATTTTTGGTCAACCCGGGTGTTTGGTTCTATCTAGAGCGCAATGCAATTGCTTCGAGTTACTAGTGCAGTTTCGATCGCGGTAGCGGTACATACACGCATTAGTTGACTTTGAAATGTTATAACGTCTACAAAAAAGTTTCCACGACATAGCTTGACTTAATAATCAAGACTTTCGAAATAAAACGAATGTTTCAAAGTATGTAGAAGATAAAGTACAGCTAAATATTGCATCGAAAACAATTGTTTAGTAGGTAAGCAACAGATACAGTAGTTATTGCTTACCAGATATTGCACCAGTACTTCAAATAGTGCACTAATTGTTCAAATATTGCATTAACTTTTGAAATACGACACGGAAACATACATATGACACCGAAACATACTGAACACGTGTGTTTTATGACACAAATCGAGACACGCAATGTCGAGATGTGCACAATTTTCGAGATGCAAAAAACGCAGTTGGTTATCTGGTATAAAACTCATGTGAAAAACACGAAAAAAAGCATGCACATTTGAAAAAAAAACCGCGCCAATCAAGAGTTTTTACTCTATTTCGTTTGTTTGATTGATAAAAAAATGCACGAAAACATTTTGCAATCTAGCGTTTTGATTTTCAAATAAACAGAAAGATATTGAACGTGTGTTTTAGGTTCTGGTTATGGCCCAAGAAAGCTCTTCGCCGAAAAACTAGAGCATATTCCTGCTTACATCTGCATCGCTCATTTAGATTTAACATAAAACTTGAATTACATATATTGCAAACTATGGTATCATAATAGTGCATGGTGAAAGTTGGAGAGGCGACCTTTTCTTGACCTGCAGAAGTCATAACATCAAGGCACTACTGGAAGTCATCGCAACTAATTGGCCTGATGTCTAGGAGTTAAAAAAACTGCTGCATTTCTGAAAACAAATTCACATGCAATACTTCTTTCAAGTTTCTAACAATAAACGAGATGAGCTGCGATGGTTGCTTTTTGAAGTACGACCAGCTGAAACAACCGATTAGGGACGAGGAGAAGAGCAAGAACACAGTCTGCACCAGAGCAGCAGCCAATAGAGTCGCCTCAGAAAAGTAAGATCTTTTTGTGCTTCTAATAAATGTTTGAAACTTTTGGCACGAACAATACTTAAGTGCCAAACACATATTCACGTAATTTTGAAAATGAAACGAGAGTTATTCACTAAAAAATGTTTGACTAAGTCTGACTGAGTCTTAACCATTAGTTTAACTTTATGACCCCAAATCCCTATTAGATGATGCCTACAGAGCATCGTCTAAGTGGCGCATTGGTCCCAATGATCACCCGGTCATCCTTCCCTTCTAGAAGTCCCCACCAGTCGGTGCGATCTGGAATGTCCAGATGTTTCCTGAGGAAGGCCAGCGATGCACGGTTGCTAAGTTGCATCGCAATTTTTGGTTCCGTTTTACCCCTTACTTCCAAAATTCGGGAGAAAAGTGGGGGTAGTAAGAAGGGGAAATCGCCCTGACTTTGATGCACAGTTCCACGAAGGAACAGCATAATTCGGTCCATGAATCGGCTTTCCATTTTTTTCATTTTGACTAAATTCATGGGCCATTGGAACTTGTCGCTGTTTACAAACAAAACAGGCTGCTGCACTTTAGTGATCAACTCCCGCTCTAAAGGGTGCATCCAAGCGTCTAGAGCGACAGCGCATTTAAATCGGGTGTCTTTTGCCAGCGCACACACGCTCGTTCCTCCCCCGAATGAGTGTCCCACAACTGCCACCCTCGTCATGTCCATTCGACCTTGCAGCTGCTCCAAATCAAAATGAGCATCCAAATTATACGCATCGTACACTTTCTCCCCAATATGAATTGACAAAAGTAAGTTCAGCATTTTCACACATTGGTCACCTCTTTGATGAATCTGCTTGTTCCTCAAAATGAACTCGTCTTCACCTTTTTTCGCAATTTTGAATGGAATCAAAACTTCTTTCTTGTAAAAACTAAAATCTGCTTCGTTCATTACTTTGCAGGAAGGTACTGGAATTGAACTTGACCGGTGATTGTTTTTTGATTGGTGGAATTTTTCGGCTCTGTGATTGGCTAAGGCGACATCTCCATTCGATCCGATCTGTAGTTCGGTAGCTCCTTTGTAACATCCAATCAAAGTTTTCCCATCGTCCACGCAAGTTCCGATCTATAACAATATGCAAATGACTTTTTTGGTTGGGACTGAAACACTTGTTTAATTCATGTTTTTTTTTCATCCAGTAGTAATCAGAAGGTCGACGGTATCATAGTACCCGAGGTTACACTCAGGAGTATCTTTATCGCATGTTCCAGTCAAAATCCTATAACTTTTCTTTATATGGAAGAGTAAAATATAACGTATATGGAGAGTCAGGTATGGGAACCAAGCCAAACAGATCGAGAAAACTAACACCTGAATACAATAAACCGGAGGTGGAAGAGAATCAAAAAGATTTACCTGGTATGAGGCTACGGGACTATCATATACTTATAGGAAACTGCGTTTTTGTTCCCTTGGCTTTATAAATAAAAAAAATCTTCGAAAATAGTTTTTATCATTTATAGTGGTGAGTACACAGACAGCGATCGCAACTTGTAATGCGAGGGAGATTCTCTGCTTACGAAAACTACCTGCCCTGAGTTCCTCGGTACACCAGCTCAAGTTCTTGCAATGCTCATTCAGAAAAACCTCAGTGCTAGGAGCGGCGCCCTTTTGATATTCTAAAGCGATTGGAAAAAAAATAAATCAATCAATACTTAAATCTCTATATTTGTCAGTTTTGCGATCTTCCAACTCGGACGCCGCTGTTCCGGAGTTACAAACCGAGCGTGCGAGTCTACCAACAGCCCCTGGGACACAAGAGAAACCGTCTGGTCGCTTCTGATCTGTCCTGTGCAGGAGTCGTGACTCCAAAATAGAAGGAAAGTGAGTGGGGGCGAAATTTTGCTCTTTAAGGGCATTCAATATTGAAATTAAAGAGAATTTCCGTGCTTTTTTGAGGCAACACGAGCCACGCCGTTTTTGCTTTTCACAATCTTTTGAAACTAGGCGGAGTCCAATTGCGATTCTAAGCTGATAATTTGACAACTCTGATCTTAGGTGTTTACACGGCGTGACGTTTAACCGATGCGACCCGAACTTACCCTGGCAAGCCTTGAAACGCTTCACTACTTTAGATTCTAGTTTCGAAATCATTTGAAAAATTTCGTTATCAAAAGTTGGCTTCGTTCAGGTTTTTTCCATACTCGTTTTAAGGATAGTCTTTTGGAAGTTTTTGCTCCAAACCAAAAACATTACTTATGGTAGCTTTCGCTCCCACTGCTGAGACTGAAAAAGCGGGTAAGCTAATAGACGAGCGGTCGAAGCATCTTAGCCATCTTTGTCTGATAAGAGAACTGCTTGCAAAATTGGCTATACTTCATTTTAATTTTTTGATCTTTTGTATTTAATTTCATAATATTCTATCGTATTTTTCCCAAATTGTTGTTGCAAGATCCAGGGCATGTACGCAGAAATAAAAGGAGCTTCGGCATGCTAAAGCAATTTTTTAGGTTTACAAACCAAAAAATCATCAAGTTTATCAATAATCTCTGATTATCTTTTCCAGCGCAGCTATTTTTTTATTTCAGCAGTTTTTTTTGACAAGATTCGCCTGTTTAGGAGCTCAAGTATACAATTTCATACTTTGTTTTTATTTTTATTTTCGGACATAATTTTTGAAATTCTCCTATTACTGTATCGTACTGTGTACTTCTGGTCTGTCTTAGAAAACATATTTCACATTTTTCTGTCTCTATGCATAAGCATTAGCTTTTTCCAATTTCAGTATAATTTGTTAGGTCTTGGAGCACTATCTGGTAGTCGTCGAATAGTTTGCCATCATCGAAACAACCAACGTTTTATTTGGATTCAAGTTTTATTTCCACTAGTGTGTGCATTGTGTCAGCAGAAAGCGGTAAAGCCTCGGAATCACCTTGTTGTGTTCCCTCCTCCGACATATTGAAAAGGTAATTCGGTTTAGTGTAGGCGTAATGGTAATTTTGTAAAACTCCAGACGGTTCGAAAAACCTAAATCAGCAAAACTTCTCTATAAATCAAATGAAACGCATTAATGAAATCTATTTTAAGTATAAATGAACACTTCGGTTTGTTATCATGCTCTATCAAATTCTTAAGGGTTGTATGCAGCACTTCAGCTCCTCATTTAGTACCACTTCTTACCTGAAAAATTTCAAAAAAATTGTCGCTCTGCGAGAACGTTACTTTTTGTGCATTTAGACACAATGCGTTTGAGACGGCACTCGGTCGCAAACCTCATCAAAGTTGATTAGGTGTGAACAGCTGAATTAAAATACCTGATTGCATTTTCTCTAGTTATTTTGAGCTGAGGCGAGTTTTAGTCCGATCCATCTAAAATGGGTCAAATATGCACACTCCAACAAAAACTAATGGTAATTACTTGAGGTCAAAGCTCTTTTTTTGAAATGCATTCGCAAGTTTTAGCTATTTAGAGACCTGGCTTTGGGGGCGTACTTTTTTTGTCCAAAGAGTGGTGGTATTTTTTGTTAGTGGCCTTTAAGCGGTAACGATCCTAAAGTCCCATGTCATAAGAGAACCGTGAAATGACTTTGACCAGTTGAGGTACAAAATCGCAAGAGATAGTGTCCCTGACCCTTGAGCCAATGGTTATGGGGTCTTTTTTTTCAACCTTATAAATGGTTTGAGTGACCAACTGTTGAATCATAAAAGTAACTAAGGTTTGAGGAACATAAATCAAGAATTCCTATAAAGACCAGCGATAGGATGGTTCGAAATTCTTTTTAATGATTTTTTTAAAATGAGTTTATTTCATTATCTACAGTAAGTGCAGCCAAAAAATGCACGGATTTGATTCAATGAACCGAATTTGAAATCAATTAAATTCCAATGGACTTTTTTGCAATCGATCTCAAATGGTTTGTCGCATTTGAAGTGTTCTTTGAGGAGATAAGCCAGACGAAGGGCTTGGAAGCAGTTTTCCTAGTCTTATTTCTGCAGGCGCATTTGGTTCGCGCTCTTCGGTTTCCAACGTCAGAAATGCAGAGAACATTTGAGGTGGGACCAAAACTGTACTCATTGTTATGTAGGGCACAAGGAATAAACGTAGCGCGACACAAAACAAAACAAAAACACAACTAAATCATTCTTTTCATTAGAGCTTCCTCATCTCTGCCATTTCAGTTTCTTCGACATTGTTCACAAGTCTTCTTAGCTTCTCTGCGCAGTAGTATTGTATCGTGTCCCGGATCCTAAGGGGGGGGGGGGGTCCTTCCTAAGGGGGGGGGGGTCCTCACGTAAAGCAAAATCCTAGGAAAGGGGTCCTTAATTTTTTGGAGGACCCTCATCCTAGGATTTTGTAAACGAAAGAGATTTTCCACCCAAAAAGCAGAAGACCCCCTAGTTAGGATCTTGCTAAGTTTAGCTTAACAACAAGGGACACGATACAAAAATCTTTCTAATTCCAATTTTTTGGGTCCTAATTATTGGTCCTGATTAATTATATGAATCATATTAATTGTTATGTTTGTTTAGGGTAAATGAACTTTCGACCTAGTTGAAATTTGTTAGTGAACGGGGAATTGACTTTTATGGTATATAATAAAAATGCGCCGGCCAATTTGGCAGCGTAGCTTAACTGTTGGCAGCAGTAAACTAATTCCTTAACTTGAACTAAATTTTATGGTGAAAAGGCAGTAAATTGAAATTACTCTCAAAAGGCGGCGGCCGTTTCTGGGCAAAATATACCAAATGATAAATTTGACAAATTTTGAAATAAGAAAAATGAAGTTAGAGGGAACTTGGTGTACTGAAGATATTGATAATGAACATTTACAATAAAGAGTGTTTTCAACCGCAGAAAAAAACTCATTTTTCAAATTTAGTAATGAACGCTACGTCGTCTTCCTCGAAAGGGCAAAGGAAATTTCAAAGAAAGAATACGAGTTAATTTTCAAGGAACAATTTTATTTGAGTGAGCTTCAACAAATCTCTTGGTGCATTTCTACAAAACAACAGTATGGTACTGTGAGCGATTTGAATTTTGCTGATTATGAAAACGTATTCGACTATTCGTTTGATTTTACCTCAAAAAAGGTTGATAAAGACTTGGAGAGAAAAATCCGTCTATGTTTCAACAAGCTATCAAAATACAAAAAACTTCCGGTGGTTTATTTAATTATTTACCACCGTTATCTTAATGAGACTAAATGGTATTTGCAAGGTCACTTTTATTTCCACTGGCTTGAAATTCAGCAGGTTGGAGAGGTGTTGGAAAAAATAAATAATGAAATTGCAAAAAAGCAGAGTAACTCCTATTGATTTGAAAATAATTCACGAAATTTATACGTCTTTGAAACAAACTTATCCTGATAATTCTAACCAACGCAACTATTTTCTAGCTGCATGTTCTCTGTTTTTTGTTAGTTCTGATAACCTTAACTACGAAATTTTAATTAAGTTGAGACCTTATGGTGGCTTGATTGGTATTGATAACTCTTCCTTGGACAAATACTTGAAAAATTCCAAAATTTTACGATTGCACGCTATTTTGCACAATGCAGCCGGATTTATACACGAATTTTATCAACAGGGTCCCACGTACTGTTACATGTTGCCCTGGAACTGTAACAACAGCTTATTGGGCATTTGAGTGGAATAGCGTTCTGCCTTTTCATTAAGTTGAAAAAACCAGAAGTTTATCATTTACTAGAATGCTAGGCGAGAGATCAGTTGTGCTTGACGTGGAAGGCTTTCGTTACAAGAAAAACGCCTTTGTGGTTAAAGAATTAGCAATAACAACTTCAGACTACAGCGATCGACTCATTTTCCTACCTCCAGTGAATTTCAATATACTACCAAAGCTTGAACAAAAAGCTTACAACTGGTTAACAAATTATTTACACGGTCTCCATTGGGAAAACGGTGATGATCTTTACATAAACTTGAATCAAATACTTCAGAGTTTTGTGCTGAGAAATCCCGGTGCCGTTTTTTACGTTAAAGGAAAAGAAAAGACAGAATTTTTGGCCAAGTACTTGGACCGAAAGATTGAAAACCTAGATGATTTGGGCTGTCCTCGGGTTGAAAACTTATATTTTAAAAATTATCCAAGTTGCAATAAACATATT